TCTGCGGGACGAGAGGAATTTTCGAAATCCCCTCCTTTAGGTTCCATTTTGGGGTCCACGAGCAGCCTTTTGAACACGTGGGGCGGTGGCAAAACGATGTGAGAATTCCCGCGACGGCCACTGAAGTTTCCGAGGGTCTTCTTCTCCCGTCCGGTGCTGTCGCGTTTTCCCGCCCTCCTCTGCCACGTGCCCCTCAGAAGGGGTGAGCGCCCTTCAAACACCACACTGGTGGGTGCACCCCCTTCCTGCGTCCTCACAGCCTTCCAACCCCCCGATCGCCTGACCTTCAGGACGTCTGAGTGACTCGTGACTCGGTCTTTTCCAGGCCTGGAAAATACCACCCCGAGACACACGGCTGGACGCGTGTCAACCGTTGGCCGTTGTCGTTGTCAGTCTGTTGCTTTAAGGAATGATGTCGGAAATTAGCGCTGTTGCTACGGGTACCGGGGTCGCAGGCAATGATCCCACCAGGACAGACTGCAGGGAAGATGATAAAACTGATAACTTCATCTCAGGCTCAAACACGGATTCAAATTAACCACGTTCAAAGTCCTCACTGTATCACAAAAGAAAACTTCTTAATAGACTGTTGTCACTGACAACTTGTACTTCATTTTCCAGAAAAAGGAAAAAGTAGGTTTTTTTTCCCCCCTCGGAAACGTGTGACAAGAAGTACCAAGCACCCGCTAATTGCTTCTGACTCCTTTAAAATGATGAACGTTATTACACATCATTTGCTCGCAGTCCTGAGTTCAGATTCAGAGGGATATTGATGGAGAATCTGCTTCAGCAAGGCTGAGGTGAAGGGTAAAATGAGGGTCGTTAGCAAAGTGTTAGAACACCGAGAAGGTCAAGAAAAAATGACGCCTCGACTGACTGAGTCAAGGAGGATCGAAGAGTGGCGTATGTTACGGTGAGAAAGCAAAGAGTGGCTAACCTGTTTTTAAGAATCGTATGTAAGTTTGCGGGCACCCGGGTGGCTTAGTCCGTTAAGCGTCCAACTCTTGGTTTCAGCTCAGGTCACGATCTCATGGCTCCATGGGTTCGAGCCCCGCATCGAGCCCCGCTCTGCGCTCACAGAGCCTGCTTAGGATTCTCTCTCTCCCTCTCTCTCTGCCTCTCTGCCCCTCTCCCTCCCACTTGCGCTGCCTCTGTCTCTCTCAAAATAAATAAGTTTTAAAAAAAAGAATCCTATATAAGTTTGGATTGGGTTCGGTTATGAGTAACAAAGCTCACAAAAGCAGTAGCTTTAAAAAGATAGGGTTTCTCCCCTGTATGTGAAACAAGTATGGAGGAGAATAGTTCGGGCTGCTATGGGAGCTCCTTCCAGATATGATTTCACTGATTCCAAGCAGTACATTTTTTCACATCTTCGACATCGGGATGCATCTTACGATCGCTGTTGGCCACAGCTGCCATTGCCTCAGCAGGCACATCAAGATTCGACAGAGTGGCATTATTGGCCAGGAACAAAATCCTGGGGGCATTTTGTCCTCCAAAAGAGGACTTTTGAGAAACGCTGCACTCTCAATGGCACAGGGGATGACAGCAAGAGCCATCAACGATGCAGAGTACAAAAGCCATTTAGAAGAGTTCAGATTTGGTTTTTTTAAATGATTTTTTAAGTTTTTTCAACGTCTATTTATTTTTGAGAGAGAGAGAGAGAGCAGGGGAGGGGCAGAGAGAGAGAAGGAAAGAGAGAATCCCACGCAGCCTTTGTGCTGTCACTACAGAGCCGGACATGGGGCTCGAACCCGAGAACCGTGAGATCATGACCTGAGCTGAAGTCAGCCGATTAACCCACTGAGCCACCCAGGTGCCCCTAAAATATTTTATGTTTTACTCCAACTTTATTGAGGTGTTATTGACATACGGCACTGTATAAGTTTAAGGCATACGACATGACGACTTGATAGGCGGATGTAATGTGAAATGACCACCACAATAAGGGTAGGTGACACCTTCATCACCTCACATAGTTTCCTTTTTGTGTGTACGCATGAGTGATCCAATGACAAACAGATGTGTCTAAGTCAATGTACAAGAGAACTTCTAATAAGTATAATTTGAAAAACCTAAGGAAAATCTAATGGAGGGAAAAAAAATTGCGTCCGAA